ACTTTGGGGATCTAAGTTTTAACAATCTGCCATGTTGAGGCTTTGCTTTAGCCTGGTTGGCTCTGTGAGTTGTTTACAAGCTTCAAAATGCTTCAAGTGCTACATTATGATAAAAAAAAAGTTACTTATATGGCACAAAAAACATTAGTCGAATCTTGAAAAATATCTGTCCACCTGCTGTCAAAGTTTATTGACAATGGAACATGCTCAAATGACCAAAAGCATTTTCTACTTGAACCTGTGTAACTACATAAAATATCCTTGTTACATTTTACCCTGCTTTAGGTTGTGCCATGCTCTCCATTACTTAAGTACAATTCTGATGGTTTTAAGGTGGTATTAGACTGCTCTAGCCACCTCTGTTAGATAGACACAAATAAGTAGTATGATATTTGGTCTAATAAATTGGCTTCTTAGACTACTACAATATTATTGTACACATTGGGTGCAGGGCAGTTGTGCTGGTATATGACTTCCACTGTGCTACTCAGCCCATATGCCTGCAAACTCGTTCCCTGGTCCTCACTAAACATCAGGTGATCTAGCAAAAGAAATGGTTCACCTCTTGGTGGTTCACCATTAATTACTGGAAAGTCATTGCTGTCACCAGGAACAACAATACTTCCTGCATCATACTGATTATACTGAAGTTAATTGAGCCAATAAGTAGCATACCTTGATGACCTCCTGGTCCATATGTCAAATTTCATGGGAGGCCTGCAGAGCCTTAAGAATGGCCTTTCTGTTATCTGCCAAGATAGCCTTTCCCTCAGACCCAAGAAATGCTATGCAGGTAGTGCTGATGGTGAGGCTATAATCCAGCAAATGGTGCTGCGCTCAAGGATTGGACTGTAACCCTGTGACATTGCTGAGATGTGAAGCTGCCCTGTATGAGGAGTGTTTACACCTGTGGACGCCCGTGTGAGGCGGCAGTCATGCACGCGATTCCAATCTAAGCACCACCACTGTTCAGATATTGGCAGAGGAAATGTTCTTCTCGTTCTGTGCTCCCACAGAATTACACAGTGAGTAGGTTAAGAATTTGGGAGTTTTGCTAAGATCTGTCAGGGTTTGGGAATCAAGAATCCACAGAGCAACGGCCAGTTTGAGTGATTTAATCAGATCCTTGCTACCCAGCTTGCAATTCTTATCAACTAACAGCAGCATGTGTGATTAGGAGTGCCACCTGCTCCTGTATAGCATTCCAAAAGTCTACAGTGTTCTCCTCATGCTCTAATGTTTGGTTCACTTGGTGTTCAGAATCTTGCCAGAGTTGAGGAGGAATGCATGGAAAACACAGTGCACTTGAGAGTAGAGCATAAGTTTGTATGCCAGGAACAGGGAGATGCTGGTGCTTGTCAGAAATGAGCCTGTCGCTCTTGCTGCTGTGGTCCGAAATGGAGACCAACAAGACTGGGTCTGTAGAACAAGGTGGAAGAAAGGCCTGGATCCCATGAGGCCATGCAAGAGGACATACAAAGTGCTGTAAGCAAGCGTCATAATTGTTATATTTCCCTAGCACCTCTTGCCATTGAATGCTCGTTTCTTAAATGTGTAAACTGAGCTTGTCTAACAGAAGGTGGAATTAAGTTCCACAGTTCAGAAGCATAATAACTGAAAGATGCCTCTCCACATTTTCTGTATTTTATGGAAGGTATTTGCAGAAGGCCAGTATCTCCAGATCTAAGATCACATGTTTAAAAAAAAGAATATTATATAAATGTTAAATAAAGTAGAAGTAATTAAAAAACAGATTCCACATGTTGAGGGGAAATTAAATGAACTACTCTGAAAGCTACCCAAGAAGTATAATTCTTTCAAAAGCACTCAGGCAAAAAACAATCATAAAAACACATTCCAACATTCCAAGCTGATCTACTTAGGAGGAGGACTGCGTCTTCCAAATGAGCAGAATAGCATGCGTTGCAAATTTAGTATGTTTATCTTAATGAATATGGAATTTAGGGTGGGGAATTTCTTCCTAAAGGCCTTTCACACTGAACACAATTTCTTCAGACGACAGTAAATTAATTTTAACATGTTTATAACTGATGACATCTTGCACATCAAACATGATTTTTCAGGGGCGAAAATGCATCATTATTTTATTTATCAGATCAAACCGAGCTACAAAAATGCAACATACAACAATGGACAGTCACCCCGTGTCACTGTTTGCCTGCTCTGCTGGAAGCAAAGAATTGGATCTTATTCGCAATTAAAGACATTCAGTCCATTTGTTTTGTGCTTTGTTTTGTGCAGAGCTGCATCTCCAAAATCAACTCAAACTCAGCTGAGATCCCAGCTGTGAGTGAAAGTCCTCAGAGAGTTTTAGCTCCTGAATGAGGTGGAGAAACTCTCTGTTCTCCTTTTGCTTTTTCCAAAATGGAAAACACCCTGCACACTGTCACAGTTTACCCGTTTCGTGAGGAGCAAAGGACCTTTTTTGAAATAATAAATATCTTTTCTGCCAATATATGTTTTTATATATATTCTACCTTTTTTTGTAGTGCAAAAACATGGCAAAATCCCTAAATATTTCGCATTTTCGTGTCATTTTTTGTGGCACATTCAGTGTGTAATTGCCTTAAGAGTGCAAAATATAGCACTGTGCGAAGGCAATTAATTTAGCACTCACAAAATGTATTAAATATTACTTCAAAAAATTGCAGTGAGTTATATCTCCAGATTATTTTAAATTAAATGTAAGATTGGTATGACTACGGCTAATGAAAAAATGGGTATAGGGTGTTTGGTGGGGCTCCTCAAAGGTGCTGAGGTCACTTAAAGATTCAGAAATGGCACTGGGCTTGAGACTTTTTGTTGGACTTTGGTGTTGCTAGGGCCAGCTGACCCCTCGGCAGGTGGCCATGTGTCTCCAGCAGACAGGCTCAGTGCAGTTCTGTGTGGTCGTACTTGGCAGCACAGGACAGTCAAGCATGATTCCATGATTGGGCTGCCACTTGTGGTCCCCTGAAATTACATTTATAAATATGTATGTAAAGTAAAACATTAATACAGCCAATGTACAACACCTAGAAAACAGCATTTTTGCTGTATAAATACCTCAAAATTCTTATTTTTTCAGTAATGTGTGAATTCACTTAACATCTCATACTTTAAATCCTTTTTCATGAATCATCTGTTATAGGTTATAAAAAGCAAACTATTTAACCTACATTTTAGTTGTGTCTCAATCCTGATTCCTGATGCACATTCATTTTTTATGAGTTGCAAGGGCTAAATTGAACTCCAATTGTGGAATCACACAGTTATTGTTGAGTTGTTCTTGTTGAGTCGAGAAGGGTCTAACCACACTCTCAGACCCACACTCTCAGACCCACACTCTCAGGTCCAGATATGATATTACACAGTGGTTGAGAGGCTTAGTAGCTACTGTACATTGCATTTATTACGTGGGGGGCACAGCAGACAGTGCGTAATGTTTTTATGAACCCTCAAACACTATGAGCCCCAAATGGCTACTTACTCACTACATAGTGCACTATGTGAGTTATAAAATTTACACTTCTACACAAAAACAGTGCACTATATTTCCTGTAGGAAACTGTGCACATGTGGCTGAATCTCAAATGGCTCTTTATTAGACATATTGTACTCTGCTCGGAAGCTGAGTCATTATTTTGAGACCTACAAAGTGCAAAACATAGAGAGTAGGGAGACATTTGCAATTCAGCCTAAAGGCCAATTTTATTTAGATACAGCGTAGGTGCCACGAAGCTGTGTACTGTGCCGCACCCTACCCCATAGCTTGTAGTTACCTGCCCAGAAATGTAACCATACATCATGACAATGCAGAAGGCAACAAATGTGATTGGATTAGCGCAGACTCTACGTTTACTCAACACAGAAGCATAAATCGGCCTTTAGTGATAATGACATGAAACAAAGTTTGGGGTGTGGTCAACCTGGAGAGATTGGCTGTGTGACCCACCCACTAATCAGTAATGATTTACACCTGTCCGAGCTGGTTTATGAGGAGCCTGGCCTCTTCTTAATACCACCGTTGTGTCAAAAGCAGAGCGCCGGCAAACAAGTCCTCAATGAATGGGGGCGAATGGAGTAAACTGCTAAAAACGAAAAGTTAAAATAGTTTCTAATCACTTGCCCAGAACACTTCTTTAATTTTAGAGAGTAGAAGGACGTATTTCACTAAAACAGCAAAGAAAAATAACCTGTATGTTTTCTTTTTTCTACAGCAAATGGGTTTTGGGCAGCAGGACGCCAACATTACTGCTACTGAGTGCTGATTGGTTGGGGAGCGGAAGAGCTCATTGGCTGCTCGCGCTCACTGACGTTATGAACGCATTCAAAAGCTGTTAAACATATAACAGAGGTGTTAAAATGTGTTATGCGGTTCTGTGTTCAGGAAATGAATGTGTTCTTTTACATTAAAACGTTTAAGTATTTATAAACTGTGACTTTAATCAAGTGTTCCATCTTAACCCATTCATCTTGGACTCGCTCGGGAGCGCCCTCTAGTGTTTGAGCAACCCGGAAGATATTACAGAGTGGTAATCTCTCTACAAGTTCTCTGGTAAAGGCTCTGCAGACGTGTACTGGTCGGTTGAGTCAGGTTACCAAAAGTGTCCTTCGTTCGTTACAGTTGTTCTCGTGTATATAATGACTACAGCAACTCAACGTCTCTGTACTTTATCAAACCGCAAATTCAGAGTGACTTCATAGCCGGTTTGCCATAAACTGTCGGACACCGGCCTCCCTCAGAGCAGCGAGGCCGTGTATCTTCATCAGCCAATCAAACTTGTGCACTCTCAGGGCGCGCAGAGTGAAATGGGCGGGGAGCAGCAAAGCGCGAGGAGCCTTTCTCTCTCTCTCTCTCTCTCTCTCTCTCTCTCTCTCTCTCTCTCAGGACCTTGAAGCCATTTCGCCGAGTTACAACCTGAAGGAGAACCATCCGAGTCGGACTCACATAAACACTCCTCCTCGTGTTTGGATACCGGTTGCCCGGCTCTCGCGTTATGACGGGTCTGGACCGGCGGCGCCGCGCGTCTCTGGCTCTCGCGCTGAACCTGGCTGCGATGCTGCTGGCCGTTTCCGCGCTCGCCACGAGCCACTGGTGCGAGGGCACGCGCAAGGTGGCGAAGCCTTTCTGCACGGGGCCCGTCCCGCTCCGGCAGACGCACTGCATCCGCTACAACAGCACGACCGGCAGCAACGACAGCCGCCTGGTGCAGTACGTGTGGGCGACCGGCGAGGACAAGTTCGTCCTGAGGAGATTTCACAGCGGTATATGGGTCTCCTGCGAGCAGAACATCGACCTGATAGGTGAAAACCTTTTTTTCCCTTAACTGCGTGTTTTTGTCCCTTCCTCTCCAGCCCGGTCTGAAGAAGAGGACCGGTTAGCTTTTTGGCAGCTCTTTTAAAACTACTGAAAAAAACAGAGAAGTAAACAAGTGACTCAGCCTGAGGCAAATGTTCTGGAAATTATCTTCAAAGTTAGAGAGTGAAGTCGTTTTCCGGACTCAAGAACAGTCACTCCTGCTGAGTCCTTCATTTTTGTGAACATTAATCTGTGCTGGTGTCGTTACGTTTTAGGATTTTGTTATAATTAGATATGAGGATTTAGACTAGCTGATAAGCTAATGCTGTCAGACAGTGCACTCTTTAAAAAAGATTGTTCCTCAATGGTTCTTTAGTAAAGAGAAGTTCTATTGAGGACCACGAGCTCTATATAGAACCTTTTTCATGCTTAAATGGTTCTTTGCATGGTGCAACGGTTCTTTAGATTGATGGAGAGTGTGTTGTATATGGTTCTATATATCACCAAAAAGAGTTCTTCTGTTGTTACATGCTTGACCTCGTAACAATAGCAGAACCCCTCCTGGTGCTATATAGAACCCTTTTCAAGAAGGTTCTATATTGAACTATTTACAACACAGTCTTCTTCAATCTGAAAAACCATTTCACTGTGCAAAGAACCATTTAAGCATGATAAAGGTTCTACATAGAACTCATGGTCCTAAGTAGAATCATTGTTTTCACTAAAGAAGCCTTGAAGGACCATCTTTTTGTGTGTGCTTAACGCACCAGATGCCCCTCCAAACCCACTGACCGACATAATGCTATAATGAGTCGAGCATGTATGACTAGTCACACTGATATAGTGAAAAATTCAAAATTTTGGACTGTTTGTGTGAAATGTAGCCTTTTCTTTCCCCCTCATTTTCTTAAAATGATATTTTAAAGGTGAAATGGTCTTTTCTGTAGAGTCTGGAATGTAGGACAGTGTATGGGTGTCAGAACTGAATAAAGGATCAGGATTTACTGAGCTGTAAACATGCTTTCACTCTTTATAGGCCTGTGTTTTGCTTTGACATTGGACTGTACCTCGTAGCTCACAGCCACTTTATATTAATCTTCATTTATATCAGCTTGTTCTTTCTCCATCACAGTAAAACCACCAGTTCAACACGTGCAGTTCTAAATGTAGGCTGTAGTGTGTTTATATTGGAATATTCATTTTACTGTTCCGTTTCTATCCCCAGGTGAGAAATGTAGAAGTTTTATAAACGTCGCACCACCTCATGAGAGAGGTAAGTTCATTTCTTTTCTCTGGTTTCTGTGAGGATTTGGGGGTGCGTAATCAGTTGTCTTATGTGACTGAAAGCAATGGCTTCCGTGCTTTCGTTGTCGTTATCTTACCCTCATCGTGACTTTAGAGGGACGTGAATTCAATCACGTTTGAGGCTCCGTGTGAGTCAGTCACCTGCTGTCTGCTTACTCTGTATTGATCATCAGGTTTTTTTGTGCATAATGACTAACATAACCCTCTTGGGAGTCATTTTGACTCCTTTAGAGTAATTGGTTCACGCATCCTTCAGTCAGAAACACGTACATCTTGAGACCGCAGTTTTATGAAGGTGAGGAGACTGTAATGCTCTAGACTAATTCATTCAGTCTTCTTTATGTGCTACACAGACTCTGCTGTCTTCATATGAGCACATTTTGCATAGTTTCATGGCTAGTTTCAAATGTAGTCGACATGAAATGAACTTATTAGACATTATAACCTCCATAATGTTGTCACCTTTGCTGATACATTGGATGTTAAATAATTATTATTAAATAGTGAATCTTAATATATTTTTAAATGTCCCCCTCACAAAAAGTCTTTCAGTTTCAGCTGTTTTGAATTGTAATTTATTGAAAAATCATGCTGTTGCTTTGTCTGATTTCTTCAGAATGATGTTCTTAGCAGACACATACAAAAATGATGAGAAATCCTCTGGGAGTCCATAAAATATGTAGGTGCACATACATGCTTTAAAAGCTTTCAACACTGAAATTCTCCCTGAAATCACAGCGTTCAGCGACCTTCATGTGTGAATGTTTGAAAGGCTCCTGAGGAATGGTGTGGTGGGAGTGTGAGGCCGACCTGGCCGCTGTAGTTTCAGGGTTTTCTTCAGTGTCAGTGTGTCTATCAGGACTCAGCGGAGCTAATCAGTGACAAGATCAGTTTTGCTGCAGCCTCTGAGTTCATCTTGATAAAAACCTCTGACCTCTGATACTTGTCTGCTCCCATGGATTTCTCTGGGGTCTGTCTGCAGTACCTCTCTCTCTCTCACACACTCTCTCTCTCTCTCTTGCTCTCACTCTTTCTCTCATACTCTTTCTCTCTCTCACACTCTCTCTCTCTCTCTCTTGCTCTCACTTACTTCCTGTATCTCTCCTGTTTTCTCTCTCTCTCTTTCTTTTTTGTTCTTTCTTTTTTCTCATCTCTCACTTTTGCTTTTCTTTTTATCTTTCTTTTGCTGTGTTTCTCTCTTTTCTGTTTTCTCGCCTCTATCATTCACTTTCTCTTGTCATCTTTTTTCTCTCTCCTCTCTTACTCTCTTGTGCCCTCTCTTGCTCTATTTCTTTTGTTTATCTCTCTTGTTGTCATTCTCTTTTCATATCTCTCGGCCCTCTCTTACTCTCTTCCTTCTTTTTTCTTTGTCTCCTTCTTCTCTCACTTTCTGTCTTTTCTCTTTTATTCTCTTTCTCTCTCCCTCTCTTTCTGTGTCTCTACTTCTCTCTCTCTGTTTTCTGTTCTCTCTCTGCCCTCCCCCTCTGTCTCTTCCCTCTCTTTTCTTCAGGGGTATTGTGGCTGTGTATTGTGGCTGAGTGTCTGTATATTCTTCTCCTATCCACTGGGGGAATCCTCATGTCCATCGAGGTCTGCCATTTTGGGAATGTCATTGACGGCCTCAAACTGAATGCCTTTGCCGCCATATTTACCGTCTTGTCAGGTAACTGCTTCATTTGTTGAACTGAGTTAACAAACTCGCCCTAACTGAAAGCTTGGCCTCCGATTGCATGGCCAGATTTGGAGAGCTGCAAATTGGAAAACATGGAGCTCATCATGATTCAGCCCCATGAAATGTCATATTTTGCATATCTCTTTGATCACCCAAAGTCTATAGTGAAGGATTGGAGCATAAACAGGCTGGAGCCGGAGTGGCAGAGCACATTTTGGATATTCTTCAGGAGCACTGGCCTGGCTGCCTGGCTGAAACTGTCACTGTTCTCAAAGGATGGCGGTGTTTGTAGTGTCAGGAGAGTGACAGTGTTAGATGTTTGTGATGCTGCAGTCTGGCCTTTGCTTTTCCTGAGAGCTAGCTGCCCCAGCCACGCCGCTGCGGAAAGCACCCGGCGCTATACACACAGAATTGCGGCTTCGTGGTCCAGATCCTGTGTAAGCCTCATGGTATCAAATCCTCTTGAATTTCATCCAGGCTATTTTTGACCTCTTGATTTATTTAAGGGCTTTGGGCAACACATGGACAGAAAATTAATACTACCTTAAGCCAACATGTGTGTAGGGTATTTGACGTAACCCGGCCACTGAGATCCATATGTAGCAAAAGACATGTGAGGGTGGGGGCTTTGTTAAAGTCCTTCAACATAGGAAGGGATTAATTCAGTTCCGTTGGAGCACCAACTACTTGAACTGTGAAGATTCACAGTTGCTGTAGTTTACTCTGTTGTATGTTTTGTGATAGGTTTTATATTATCATATGGGGCTGTTACTATTGATCATTTTAGTAACCCAGTAATCTAGCTGTTACTTGGACAATTTGATTAGTAATTAGAGTTTTATAAAAAGGTCAAATAATAAAAATGGGCTCATGTGAACAGTAACAAACTACGAATAGCGTTTTAAAGATTCCAATAATCTGTAAAAAAGACTTTATGAAGTAAAAGAAAAAAAAAATAAAGAGGAGAATTTAAAGGCCTCATATCAAATAAAACAGTCCAAAACAGTTCCAGTGTGTAAATAGTGTGTAAACATTGCTGAAATTCAAAATACAATTGACTCCCTGATCTATACAGTGCATCTATGAAAACTAAGCTGAAAAATTTTGTGATGTCATGAAAACCAACGCATTTATGTTTACATATACACACACCCATTCAGCAGTTTAGCCCTGTCCATTTATATCAAAGTTCAAAAGAGCGTTTTAGTCCTGACTGCTTTTTCAGTGAGGCACAAAACACACAGCCAATCAGAAGAGGTCATTTACATCCATTGCAGTGCAATAAACAGAGGCCACCCTTCCTTTATTTTATTTCCCATCAAACGGCCATTAAAGCCACAGTATACGATTTCAGTCCAGTACACTTTGTGTCAAATTCAGCAAATATCTCTTCACAGTCCACTAACTCTCAGTTCTGTATGTGCACTGGAAAAAATTCAGATGTATGTGCACAGCCCTGGGAAATAAACAAAGTGTCTCGGACCGAACCACACAACACTGTTCCAGCCGTTCAGCAGCAGGGGGCATTCGTGCTCACACCCAGGACAGGGGGAAGGAGGGGTAACAGAATGTAACTACTGCACCATTTAAGATGGAACAGGAGAATTCGAACAAGAAGCTGACTTGTTGAAAGGCATGGAAAGGGATTAGAAGGTTGCTCTGTTTCTGCTTAACAGGTGGGTAACATTAACTTATTTTTACCTACTGAGTAGGTCAGTATTGTTTTCTCTTGTTTGCTTATGTTTGTGATAACTAATCACAACTGGTTAGCTTTGCAGTAGCAATTGTAGCGACAGTTTGCTAACCCACAACCTAGCTAATGTTAGTTACTTTGCTAGTTGTGTCACTGTTCAGTCTAACGTTATAACATGGTATTTGTCTGTACAATGTTTGCGAAGATCTAAATAAACAAGTTTGCTAGCCAAGTGTTGTTCGCTTTGGCAATGCATTTGGGGGGTGGAGCTTCTGAAGGAGCACTGAAGCATTTTGCTATTGAGTTCAAATGCCAAAGTCATTCTCAGAGTTGTGCACTGACCCTTTAAGTAAGGGGGATATTTCTGAGGAGATTAGATGTAAGAAATTTGATTGCATAAGGAAGGGGACAGTTGAAGGAAAATAACTGAAAAACAGAATTTTTCAAAACTTCAAAAAATTACGAACATATATAGAGAAAATTGGACTCCTAACAACCATGCAAGACCAGGTAGACCACCAAAACTGTCACGATTAGGTAAACAGTAATTAAAGCTTTCATTTTTAAGTCATATTAGAAAATTAACCTCTCTGGCTTCAGATCTGAAAAAATCTACAGGTGTTTCTGTCCATCCTTCAACTGTGAGAAGGTAACTCAATGACATGAGTCTGAAAGGATTTGTAGCTGTCAAGAAGCCAATCAAACAAAGAAGCTGTTCTTTGGAGGTGTGGAAAATGATCCCTGTGGATTTCTTTGAAAAACTCATTGCTTTGAAAAAGGGTGGCCACATTAATACTGAAAAAACTGTTGATATTATATTTAGTTGTTGAGGCTTCTGTGTAAATTTCTCCTAAATGTTCGTTTTCTGCAGTTTTTTCTGATGCTGAAAAATGAATGAATTGTGCTTAATGTATTTTTTTTTCTCTTTTCACAATTTTAATATTTGGTACTGATAGTAAAACATTATTCTCTGTTCATTTTGCTCTTGTGTTGTTGTTCTGCTGTCCGGTGTTGACCAGAGGAGAATGGGTTCCCCTTTTGAGTCTTGGTTCCTCTAAAGGTTTCTTCCTCTTGCTCTTGGAGTTTTTCCTTGCCTCTGTTGCCATTGGCGAAAGCTCATGGGGGTTTGGACCCTGATTTTTCTGTAAGCTGCTTTGTGGCAATGGTTGTTGTAAAAAGCACTATATATAAACTTTGATTTCACTTGATAAAATAAATAAATAAAGGGTGGTCTCTGACTTTTGCACAGTACTATATATCATGATTAAAGGCATAGTAAAGAAAGTACATTTTGAATTAATATGTTTTTAAACATTACAGCCCTATTATCGTATTTGAGAATTCTCGTTAAAATATTTCTCACTTATTGGTTTATTCGCTCTTAAATGTTGCTAAAGAAGACAGTTTTTAGTACAAGGCCAGCCACACATATTTGTCATGACACGTTCATAATGGCCATCAATAGGATGAGCTTAATCCATTCTGTTTTTGAAGTAACTTGCATGCACTTTGACCATAGTCTGTATTGTTTTTCTGTTGTTTGCAATGAATAACAGTACAAAGTACACAGTGTATTACATATTAAGGAAGACCTTTCAAAAACACAGTTATGTCTGCTATGACTTTTTTGATTATTGCAGTATTACTACTTATTTGGCCCAAATGAAGCTTAGGGAAAGCAGAATTTAGCACTGTTATGCTGAATGTGGTCTCCTTTTGTGTGGTTCAAGGATTTTGCTGGCATCCAAAGTAATCGGATTGGTGGGAGCCTTTTTGTTCTTCTTTTTTTATTTATTTATCTTTTTGTGATGAAGTCCGCACAGAGGAGATTTCACACCATGGTGGGTTGACAGATATGTATGTTATTCAGTGAGACTTTCTGAGCTGAAAAAGAGGGGAGAGGGAGAGAGCAAGAAAGAGCAAGACACAGACAGAGGAAAAGAGGGAGATAATACCATATAAATTGACAACATAGTAGTAACACATGGATTAGTACTTTCCTTTCTTATAGGTGTACTTCTGTAGTTGTATGATTTCCCAAAAAACTAATTTCACATAATGCTTTTTAGGTTATTGTGCTTATTTATTCCATGTGCTATGCAAACACATTGCACCACATCCATTGCTTTGCTAACGCACAAGTCAATTTAGAGGATAAACACCAATTGACCTAATATGTCGGACTTTGCGTGTTCCAGATAATCTCCTATCACACTTTCAACTTGGCTATTTCTGGCGCTGCGTGACTCTGATTGTCCTGACTCAAGGTCTGAGTAGCTGACGTTGTTGATTAAGTCTGCATTACCATCTGGACATAAAATTTGCCTTCTCTAAAACTTTCATGCACTGACCCCATTAAGCAATGCCCCTGAACTGCACCAATGTGCTACCTACACTAGCCAAAGCTGACAGTCTTCATTAATTACAATCTTCCATCAGCTCCCAAGTGCTCTGCCACTGGGGTTCTCACTGAATAATGAAGGAACAGATTGGTGACATTGAGATGGACCGTTAAGTATTAAGACTACTCAGATGTTTAGTCAGAGTAAGTGGAGATTTAGAGTATTTAAGTGTGTAGCTGGATAGATGAAAAAGAGCTGTCTTGTTAAGAGACTGTTCTGGAGGAGGCAGGGTATTTAATGCATTCTGCTGATGGAAAATTGAGAATATACAATGTCCTCTACTGAAAGACTAATGTGCCCCTCTTTTCCTGTTATGGTATAACATTGCCCCCTTATGGCAAAGCACAGTAATGTCAGCTTGGAATCACAGGAGTGCAGTAGTGCAGTACTACAGCACATCTTAGCTGCCAGCTTATCTTATCTTATATTACATCAGTATTGCATCACATTATGTATAGCATTACAGTACTACATTACATCAGGCCTGTCACATTTATTACATAATGGCCCGATTGCAGTTATTTGAGCTAATCACAAATTATTTAATCTGACCATAATTACTTTCCACTGTGAGGTTTCTCTGTATGTTACAACAAACAGAATTTCAATTGGCTGGGTTTCATCCACTGGTTTAAGGCAAATACATATGAATAAAAGAAGGCAGAAAGCGCATTTACTGAGACGTCATGGGTCAAAAACAAAAAAAAATCTGACTTTTTATTTGGTTCTATGAAGTGTTTAGAGAGTGGCGGTAAGTAACATTTGTTAATTAGGTGTTAAAACACCTTTAGATGGCAGCAGTGAGTAATGTTTGTTTATTAGATGTTTGTTAAGAACACCTGTAGAAGGCAGCAGTGAGTAATGTTTGTTTATTAGATGTTTGTTAAGAACACCTGTAGAAGGCAGCAGTGAGTAATGTTTATTAGATGTTTGTTAAGACCAGCTTTAGATGGCAGCAGTGAGTAATGTTTGTTTCTTAAATGTTTGTTAAGAACACCTTTAGAAGGCAGCAGTGAGTAATATTTGTTTATTAGATGTTTGTTAAGAACACCTTTAGAAGGCATCAGTGAGTAATATTTGTTTATTAGATGTTTGTTAAGAACACCTGTAGAAGGCAGCGGTGAGTAATGTTTGTTTATTAGATGTTTGTTAAGAACACCTTTAGAAGGCAGCAGTGAGTAATGTTTGTTTTTTAGATGTTTGTTAAGAACACCTTTAGAAGGCAGCGGTGAGTAATGTTTGTTTATTAGATGTTTGTTAAGAACACCTTTAGAAGGCATCTGTAATATTTGTTTATTAGATGTTTGTTAAGAACACCTTTAAAAGGCAGCAGTGAGTAACATTTGTTTATTAGATGTTTGTTAACATCTTTAGAAGGCATCTGAGTAATGCTTGTTTTTTAGATATTTGTTAAGAACTCCTTTAGAAGGCAGCAGTGAGTAATGTTTGTTTATTAGATGTTAAGAACATCTTCAGAAGGCATCTATGAGTAAGGTTTGTTCATTAGATGTTAAGAACACCTTTAGAAGGCATCTGTGAGTAAAGCTTGTTTATTTGAGGTGGAGCTGTCATCAGTTGGGAGCTTCTGGGTATCAACAGCTAAGAAATAAGATAGCTAATTATATATCTAGCTACTTTAGGCTTGCACTTCAGTAGTTACATTAAATTATATTTAATATTATTTATAAATTAATTGTCAGCTAAAATCACATAATGTATTGCATCAGTGATTGTTGTAGGGCATTATCTTGCATTGTACACTTTGAGGTTAAAGCCATGATTTGGCCCAAAATCCAATTTATGTTATTTACTGCCATTTATCTCAATTTTAGTCAATCAGTTCCCAGAAACCGTGTTGAGTTGTTAAGTGATCTCAAACTTGATTGTGTTTTTGGCACTGTATGACATACTGTTATCATACAAATGGACAGAGGTGGTTTGCACAGTTAAAATTACTAGTAGAAGTCATCCATAAGCCTGAATAGTGTCTGTGCCTTTGATTATTTTTTATAGATTTTAATATGTCAGACAGTGTCAGAAACCACACAAGTAAGTCTATTTGAGGTAAATAAACAACTCAACATGGTTTGAGCTGAGGGCGTTGATTTAAGCATGCAATTTGCATGATGCTAATAGGCGGCAATAAGCTTCCATTAGTTGTTTGTGCCAGTGTGAAACTAAAGAAGCAAAAAACTTTGGACACCAAACATGTCTTGGCTGACCAGCAACATTTAGGGTAAGGGTAAAATCATTTTAACAGTTTCCATACAACTATACCTGCATTTACATTTTATGTTTGACTTGACGTTTGATTGTACTATTGCAGGCCTTCTTGGGATGGTGGCGCACATGATGTACACAACAGCATTCCAACTTACTGTAAGCATGGGCCCTGAGGACTGGAAACCCCAGAGCTGGGACTACAGCTGGTCTTACATGTAAGCTTCTCATACCCTTCTTTTAGCTCAGCAATGTCTGCTTAACTCTTCATAAACAATCAATGGCAGTCAGTTTGCTGGTCACTGAGACTTCTTGTGATCATGTGTGGATGCCTTTTTCCCTGCAGCTTGGCCTGGGGCTCTTTCACTGCCTGCATGGCATCCTCAGTGACCACCATCAACAGGTACACCAAGACCATCCTGGAGTTCAAGCACAAGCGGAGGAACATCGAGAAGAATCTGAAGATTAAGCAGAAGCTGCTGGACCTCGACTCCCCAGACCAAGTGTGGGACATGTACATCAGCTCAGTCCCCAGCACAGCCGAGGAGCTGTTGGACCTGTCCAGCTCGGCCCGCAAACTCTCCAACAACTCGGTTTTCCTGGACCTCAACGACATGCCTGAGCAGCAGGGAGAGGAGTACTGTTGAATGTTACCTTCCCCAGCACTAAAACTGCCCCCGGAATACAATACAACCCACTGCCGCTTGGCACTGCCACATGCTCTTAATGAACTGAACCTGGCCTCATCTTATACTGAGGGCTGTGACCCGGGAGAGCCTTTTATCTGGCTTCTCCACAGAGATTAACTGACTGAATACTTTAAACTGTTTTTTTATGTACTGTGCTGTAATGTTTGCTGAAGGTGACACTGTGGTTATTTATTGATTTTATATTTATGTATAGATATTATATGTTTAAGTATGAACCTCATTTTGGCACAGACATTGGAATATTCTTCAAAATTCTTGCTTAAAGTTGATAAAAAGAAGGAGAAAGGCATTAAAACTTTTAGGAACCTTTTCCATCTAATTTAAAATCTTGTCACTTTGTAACTAAACCACAAAGCTCTAAAACGCTAACTATACAAGACAGAAAAAAACGTTTTTAACTTTAAAGTGCGTTAATTTTATTCCTAGTCATTTTGGATGCCTTCGGTTAGGGAAAAAATACATGATAGCGACAATACGCTAATACTTAGACACTTTCCCAGGAAAGTGAGTTGAGTTTCTCAAGATTTAATCAGTTCTGAATTTTCTTTCTTTTAAAGTGATTTGAAATGACACATGCCTGTTTTCTGTTGTCTACATATACAAATTATATTGAGTGCCTTTGCTTGTGCTTCTGATGTTGGTTCTGTTTAACCTTGGCATGCTGATAACTGAATGGACGTTTATTTGACAGTAATTTACCAGTATTTCAGTTGTACATGTAATTCATAACACCAACACCAACCAAATTTATCCACGAATACTGGCACTGGACCAATCTTGTACCTATTTCTTTCCTACTTTAGGGGAAGATATTAGTTTGCTTTTGTATACAGCTAAAATATATATATATATATGGAGCATCCATCTAAAATGTATAGTGAAAATTAGTGGGGATACACTTCTAAAATGCATTCAACAGAGTGCACTAATTTTATTGTAATGTATCATTATGTGACTGTGAAATGCTGTTATATTTCTACATGAGTACCAAGATATATATTAAAGCTGTTTGTAATCAAGTCACTGAATTCATGAATTTATTAGCTTAAGTGTGCACAGGCTTAGACTTAGCTGAACTATAAAAGGGGTAAATAGGACAGGATGACATTCTTATCCAGTTCATCTGTACTTGAATTTTTTGAATCTCTGTTGTCATGCTTAACCGACCTTGTGTAGATAAACATTTTTAAATGAGGTAATACTGCATAATGACTTTCTAGCTGATCAGATTGTTTGGGTGTCTGTGCTACCAAAACAACTGTTTACATTATTATGTGCCACATCTGTGAAATGCATCATCAAAATACATTTAACAATTATGAACAACACTGTTAGCTCTTTGTGTCAGCTAATAGCAGACTGTTCATTTCTTCTTGTTTACAAGTCTTTAACATGGCTATCTTTTGACCACATTTAACAATCATGAACAACCCTGTTAGCTGTTTGTATCAGCTTATATCAGACTGTTCATTTCTTCTTTTTTTACGAGTCTCTAACATGGCTTTATTTTGAACTTACATAACGTCACTGTCCAAAGAAAAACAAGTATCTCCAAAATAGTAACTTCACAGGAGAGGGCAAAAATGCTCTTACATTGTAATGTAAGTTACTGTAAAGAGATTTTATTCCAAGTGATTTTAGAGCATTTCTATTGGTCCATTCATCATGAAATTTTCTCATAACATACAGGACAGCTATTGTGTTGAAATGATGTAGAAGACTAAAAATCGACAAAAATGGAGATACATGGTTTTCTTCGGACAGCGACGATATGTTAACTAAGTGCTGTCATTGCTTAGTTTATTTTGTGATGTTTGTTTGCACTGGAAAGTTGTAAAATGAAGTTATTGCACACAGGATGAATGAAATGTAACAATAAAATACTTTCAATCTTGAATTTTGGAAGCCTGAGGGAGAGAAACGTTTGAATGGCCACAAGGAGGCACTGCAGTTGTAGTTTTGATATGATATACTGCCCCTTCATTCAGTGACAGCACTGACGGTAGATGAATCGCACACTTATTATTTACCTTTTTTTGTTTTTATTTATACCTCATGATGGAATCTCTGAGATTTGACGTGTCTTTTGACCAGAGAGATGTTAAACACACTATGAACCAAACGTGCTTTGCAAATCCTGACCATTTGACAATGATTCAGTTTTTGCAACATCCCCTTCCCTACTATATATTTCCAAATGCATTCACATTTAGACAGTATTTACAAAAAGGGTTTTATTTTTTCCATGTGTTTGTGTTTCCAACATTGGTAGCAAATACTCAAGATAAATCTTCAAATTAATTTAACAGCTTCCTTGGCCATGTTAGTGCAAAATCATGCAAGCAATAGACAGGTCCCGAATTCGGCTTTTGTGTGTCTGGAGTATTGTCAACCACAAGAAGATATAAACACTTTCTACGAATTCAGGGTGTAAATGTGACTGTACAGTTTACCTTATGGATGAACACATCAATATCTTATTCCCACCTAGGCTGAATCTCAAATAGCCCCCTTCTCCCTATGTAGACTCTCACGCCAAAATAGTGCACTATACGTGTAACCCCAGCAAAGCCAATGTGTTTTCTTCTGAAATGAATTATGTCATTTATTTATAGCATCACTTATGGGTTCCAATTCATATTGGATACTGAAAATCCATTAAACTAGCAAAGGGCTTAAAAGGCCTGATAAAATAGAGTGGCAAGAGCATGTCCTGCTCTTAAAGATGTTCTTTATCACAATTAAAGTATGAAATGTAATAGCAATATAAAAATGGCTATTTGGCTCACTCTTTTCACATGGCTTAGACCTTTACCATCTGTGGGGTCTCAGCTGTCCCACAGTCAAGCACATGGAGCGGACCAGTTCTTGGCCACTTCCATGGAAAGCAGTAGCATTTACACTGGCTAGGTCCCAAATCAATCATGAGTTACATTGCATCACATCAAAACTGTTCCATAGCACCTCGTTTTGTATGTCACAGTCCTGTAGTACAACGTCATGTACAGTATTTTACATAATTTACCAACATAAATCAGACTATAACAATTTTCATAGCAATTTCTTCTAGCCGAGCTCCTACAAATGATGCCCAATCTTATGACTGCTCATTTGAATCTCTCTACTCTCTTCAGTGTTGTTGGTTCAAATGTACTCACACTCAACTGTTTCATGCTGCAGTCATAAAGCCTGACTGATGGATATGGTGCCTTTATTTGAACATCAACAAATGCTAATTTGATTACCTCATCTTTCACTCTAGATCACACAGTGCATCATATTTAGCCTCTCCCAATAAATCACTCAGTGATGGTCAATGGCACTTTTCCTAAATGCTAATAGTCTTTCCATTGTTCGAATCACTTCTATCTCGAGACCCTGGCCGAGACTGTGGGCTTTAAAAGCACTAAAGATAACTAACTGCATCAAATATTTACTCAGCAGAGCAGGCACAGCAGCTCCCATTAAGAGTTAGTGCCATCTGCAGCTTGGTACGGCGTGACTGAGAGTGATTTTTGAGTTCCTTGTTTTTTCACATGGGTTCACCAAAAGAACAAAAGAAACATTCTTTATTGCCATCCAAAGTCCATGCCAGCCATTTGGTAGAACTTCAGATTGTGAGGGTGGTAGAACTCCCTCAGTTTCTGTATGACCTCAGGGTTGACGCGGACATGCGTCCGGCCTTTGGTCTTGCCCAGGCAGTGGGGCTTGCTGCTGCCCTCAGGCTTTTTGAGGCAGGGGAAGCCCTTGGTCTTGTTGAAGTAGAAGTGCTTGTCTGTGATGATACGCTGCAGGCCCAGGAAGTCCTGCACACGGCCCAGCTCTCCGGCCGGGTCGCTGATGAGTCGCTCGCCGTGGACAAAGTGGATCTGCGAGAGCGGGAAATAGGCCAGCCAGCGCTCCAGGTGCCTGGCGTACAGGCCGATGTACAGCGGGCTCCACAGAAAGTCTATCTGGCCCATCGTCTGGTTCTTAAAGGTCAGGCTCTCGAAGCTGGGCACGCCGGGCGTCTTGGAGACGATTTGGGTGTAGTCTGAGATGGCCCGGGTGATGGGATCCCGAACCACCACAATCAGCTTCACATCCCGAGACATGGCGTGGATACGTGCTGGTGTCTCGGGCGTCACAAAGTACCTCGGCGTCTTCTCCATCACTATCTGTCCATCCAGGGCCTTGGGCATCATGCTCCTAAAGCACAAACAGCAAGAGTTTTAACCACCTCCTCTTACGTTTTGCTTCATTATTTCTGACTCATAGCTCATTAAATGAAGCGAAAGTAATTCCGTCAACTTACGATCAATAACACGTTTGTGTTTGCAAGTAGAAATGGCTTTTATTATGATTTGAATTTTATGAAAAGTCATTTTTGTGCATACGGGCTTGTTTTTCAGAGATAAAAATAAAGGGGAGAGCAGGGCCGTAACCTAACTGGGGTAAATTGTAAAATGTAGTGATGTGTCACAAACAAGTAGGTTCTTCGAGTCAGTTCTTTTAGATGAACCAACTCGTTTTAAAGGGACTTTTTTGTAAATTAAGATTAAATTAATTAATGATGAAGCTGTAATTGAATATGAAAGGACCCCTCTCCTGGATTTCTTTGCAATATTCTGGCTCCGCCCCTAGCCGCATTTCCAAGTGTGCCTCTGTAGTTCTTCTGATTTTTGACTTTTACTTGCTTTTATTTGTTGATGACTAGTCCATGGATTTGCCTGTTTTTTGCCTGTCTGCCTATCTTCTGATCCTTTCCTCTCGAAATTCATCCAGTCAAACTACTTATCAACATCAACAACTTATTTTTTAAAAAGATTTATTTAGAAAAACATAATGCAATTTTTGTTAGATTTTTAAAAGGGAAACTAAAGTTTTATTGCAATTTAAATTATAGATTATGTCATAAACTTGATTAATTTTGGAAACCAAAAACTGACAATGCTACTGAATGAAGAGCCTTTGGGGAGCTGAAAGAGTCAGCTAAGCCTAACTCACTGAAAAAGATTCGGAATGCCTATCACTGTTAACATGGATAGTTTATACGGTTAATCAAGTTGAAGTAGTATGTTTTGGTCACATTCTCATGTTCCCATAGCAAACATCTCCAGTGCATTTTAACAGCACTGTGGCATATATTTACTCTGAACAATTAACCCAGCCTATGGGGGAAGTCTGCAACATTAAGCAACAAGTAACATTTGCACTCCTGCCACCTTCAGCAGAATTATTCATAGATGGTAGACACTGGAAACAAAGTTTATGTTTTAATTTGTAGCAGAGATGTGTAGCTTGCTTGTATAAACAATATTAATTGTGCTCAAATACTGGAAAAATTTATTATTCAAAAAAACACCATCTGGTTTTGCCCCGCTCTCCCCTACAGAAAGTATTCAGTTAACATAGAATGTAAATCAAATGTAAATGTAGGTCATTATCTAACTATTTCATTCATGATATTCTTATATTTGAATAGTATAGCAAAACAACAGTAAAAGCTCTGAACCATTAAGGGTTAAAAATCAGGACACAAACTAGTCCTAGACTTACTTTTTCTTCACTCCTCATCAATCCTGTTTCCCCTACAGGCCCTAAGATCTGTATCCCTTAAGAACAGAGTTACTTTTGCCAACGCACTATTGATCCACTAAATCACATCACGCCTCCAGCATATGCATTAGAAGTGGAGATCAGGACGGCAGAAACAGAGCTAATGAGGTGACAAGGCTTTTGTCCTCCAGCAGATCAGCGGAGGGCTTTGGGGCCGGCCGTGTCACTTATTGGCTGCAAATGAGAAGCCAGGCGGCACTGCTTCTCTCTTAGCTCGTCTCTGTAAGTGCATCAGCGATGCTGCTAGTTGTGCAGATGTGCAGGCTGCATCAATCAAGGGAGGGTTACTGCCATACAAGGCAAAACAAATGGAATGCATGCGCTTGTGTCTTACTCTCCACTCTTGTTCTGTCCAGCAGATGGGACTCATTTAGTTTAAGTGGCTGGAAGGCTCACAGGACTTAATGGACCTCCTGCATCCCACCTGCTTCTGAGAATGACCACACCTAACTTGCGCTTTTTCTACTTAACAGTTCGTGTTTTTCAAACTCTGGGTGAACAAAGTAAGAAATGCAAAAACTGCTTACAAGAATAGCCTAAAAACATTGATGTGATCTGATGTTATTTCCAGCCATCCCAGAGCCCTGTAATATGACTAGGAAAATGGTAACTGATGAGAATGACTCAGCATGAACACAGAATATTTGGGGTGGGCATTATAATGATAGGCTATCATTATCATGATGAATTATAATGACAATATTCTTACACCGAATATATCATCAGAGTACTATTAGAACATTGAACAACTGCATGTATCATAACAAATACAGATTTAGACCAATTATAGAGAGCTTCCAAACAACAACCAGTATATAGTAACTGCATAGTAGTTGAATGAATGTACAATATCATCAACAAGTTTTATTCATTTTTATTTTACCAAATGTTAATTTTTTTCTTGCTGTTTCTTAAATACATTTTTGCAACAATTCAATTATTTTTTCCTTTAGAATTAAACAGGCTGTTATTGTTACTGTGCCTTTAAGGCTAATATTCAGTCTGATTGATACACCACTGGTCAAATGACATGTGACATGATGATTTACTAGGTGAAAACACTTAAACTTAACATCTGCATGGAACATGCATAAATATAACACATTTCTACACAATTCTAATTTTAATGTTACAATTCATTTGCTGAATGAGAAAATGTGGCATGTGCAAAATTTATTGGCACCCCTTCAGCTGATCCACTAGTGTTATTTTTTGTGAGGTCTCAGAGCTTATTTGACTCATTAGGCCTTAATCCAACTCAGGTGTAGACAATTCCAGAGCATAATAAATTATGTGATCCTTCAAACCTCTGAGGGTGTTGTGCTTACACTCAATGGCCATGGGCTCATCTAAGCATACTAAGGCTCTGAAACTAAAGATAACAAACTTTCTGACATGTCATTATGAAATGTAAATTGCTAAAGCTGCTAAAGTCAAGACAAGATCTGGAAGACAAAGGAAAATCTCTCAAAGGAAAAACTGCTTGTAGACTGGTCATGTATTCAAAGCAAAACCCCCACATCACTGCCAAGAACCTACAGAAGATTTGGCTGGCACAAGAATAGTGTTGTACTGGCCCAATGAATAAAGAATAGGAATAAGTCTGCTACTAAGCACTGGCTGAAATGGTGCCCAAACTATACATATGCCACATTTTTCCAATGTGTTAAATTTAGCAAATAAATAATAACTGTGCATTAAAATTCTGTGCAAAAAAGCTTGTCCTGTGCAGAGGTGGGGTTAAATCTTTTTACTTAGAAAATCACCAGAAAGTGTACTTTGACCAGGGGTGCCTAAACTTTTGGACACAACTGCATGTAAATGACTTCTGTTCTGACTGTCTTGTATTGTACCTCAAAAAACAGACCAGGCTGAAACATTCTTAATAAGGCAGAATAGACAGATCAATGTAAATGTTTTGGTTTTTCATGACATCACAAGAACAATGAACTCAAAACAGGCTGTTTCGCAGCTTAGTTTCTATATACGGACTGTACAGACTTCACGCTCTTTCTGAATTTGCATGATATGTGCCCTGTAACATGTGTTATATAGGAGCTTATTCAAAGGTATACAAATACATACAGAATTACAGGCAGCAACTCTAAGAAAAGATATTCAGGCCTGTATGAATGGGTCACTGAGGACAGGCCATCTGATGCTTCCAGTGTCCTCTGGCGGGATGTAGTCTCCCTTCTCTGTGCCACAGTCCCTGCAGCATAAGCTCCTATCAATACAGCAGCCCAGAGCTCCGTCAATTCTTTGGCCACACTGCATTATCAATGACTTCATCTGGGAAAGCACTTAACCTAAAGACTTCCCTGTTTACCTACGTCTATAATGGGGCCAGCAAGTCTATTAGAGATGCCCATTAATTATTCACTCGCTTCTATTGAGGTGACCTATTCGTACTTTCAGCTGACCCCTCCTCCTCCCCCAACTAAAGCAAGATCCTTTTATATATGCAATCCTGGGTACTGGCAAACATACAAAGAACACATTGCTGTCATAACAAAAGATCTCCAAAATGGTACCTATAAACGAAAAAAAATTTAATGTACCAAATTTGGGACTTTTTCAATTGGTCCATTCATCATGAAAGGTCCAAATAATGTAAAGGGCAGCTGGGATTTCAAATGTTGAAAGAAAAAGAAAAAAAAGAAAAGTTTTTCAAGATTTTGATATTACACTGGCGATATGTAAAGGAAAATGCATGTGTGTGCAGAACATGGCAAGCTTGCAAGAGCATGGCGATCTGCTTACGCTGAATAGAGAAAATCTGAGCGAACAAGAGAAGAGATGTCAATCAAAAGGTGAAGTCCATTAGCAGCCTGTCTTACATTAGCCTGGGAGACAAAAATCACTGATGCAGAATAGACTACGGAGCTCTGGCCATTTGCTAGCATGACAGAGCTCATATAAAAGCCTAAAAGTTCTAAAAAAAGAAAGCACAGAGTGCTCTGAGGTCTATATGCTGTTGGATAAAATGTTGTGTATACCACTTAGACATCTCAGACTTCTCCTCTCATGCCCTTTTCCCATGCAGCACAATCTGTATTCTATTGTGTAATACATCATGGTAAATATATGATAAAGACTTTTCAGGTGAATGTTCAGGAAAGGGTAATTATATTTCTGGTTACAAATTCCCTCAAATTGGCTCCAGCAATCCTGATCTCTGGGGATTAGTAATGCTTTGTTGGTTAAATATTGGCAGAATGTTAACAGTTTTCGAGATCACTCTAAGCAATATGTATTCTCCCCACCAGCTCTGAAGATTCTCCATTGTTTACCAAGTTGCATTGTGCTCTGCAATATCCCAGTAGCCCAGAGGAGGCAGCGGATAGGTTCCTCCTAATTGAGGCTGCGTTTTGGCCCAGTCTCTCAGAGGTATACTGAATAAACCAAATGGTGCCCTGGGTATTGATCATGATGGGGGTATGGTAATTTGGGCCTCAGCTGGTACGAGGGTGGCAGGTGGAGTGTGTAGATGGGCCACTCCATGGCCTCATCAGCAGCTTGCTGCGCACAAACAGATGTGAGGCAATTACCCTGTCTTCTGTTCAGGCATCACCTACTGCTAGGGATGT